TTAAAATTAAACTTAATAATTAAGGTTAAGGGTTGCTTACCTCCTTTTCCTCTTCTGTCGCGTCATTTTTCGGCTTGGCAAAGTTGATGGGAGGTTCCCGCTGCCATGAGGGGACCGAACTCGCTGAAAAACTTTTCGTATTTCCTTTCCGCTTATGCGCAAGGGGTTCGGAGGGTTACTCACTGGTGGTCATGGCAAGGGACCCGCACGGGTGCGGAACTGGTTGTGGCTGAGGAGCAGACTCCGGATTGTGCTAAAGACGTTGATTTCCACTGTTTTGAAGCGCTACCTGATGCCATTTTCGACCCTTTCCATTTCATTCTGCCGAACGCCTACCATCAGCAAAGCCTTGGAGACCTCGTCCTGGTGCATCGCGAGTCTAAAATCGTTTGATCAGCACGTTTATTCTCTGATTATCGTGTTTTATACTTACGTCTGTGTCTGCTGCGACACACTATCGATGACAAATTTCATCGAATTTTGCAGCTCGTTGATTTGCTGTTGGAGCTGGCGCACCTGCAAGAACCTTAGTAAATCATGGCAGCAAACCTCTTCCGTTGCCGGATCGGGGATGTTAAACCGGGGCAGGACATAGGTGCGTAATAAATGGTAGCCAGCATATGCTGCCGTGGACAGTATCGCAGCCGATTCCACAAATTGCCGCACTCTAAAAATCTTTAGCTTTCGCTGCAATTCTTAACTCGAAAATAAAAGCAAACTAACTTGTTAGGTTGGTACGGAGGTGGATACTGTTGCATTGCAATATTTTGAGCGGGAAGGACCGGGAGCCTTTGCTTTGCTTCTTCTAAAAGGGCATAACTCCATGATTAAAGAATTCCAAACTAACCGATTTCCTGCTCGGTGACGCCCTTGCCGAGTAGGGAAGCCTCTCTGCTCTTCCCAAGGGCTATCGCGAACTTTTGGGGTGCTCAAAAATTTGTATGCGGCCTCGACCATTTCTGGGCGGTTGCTGCTGGAGCCGGCATCCATTTTCAGGTGGATGTAGGATCTAGACAGTTACGATTAGAGAATAGCAGTTCAGCAAAAGTTGTCTTGGGGGAGACTCTGACTAGACTACAAAACGCGACTGGATTGATAAGGGGTGCGGGCGCGGAACGGGATCGTGCATGATGGAAACTGCAGATTTGTCATAATATCCCCCTCCCAGAACAACGAAAAATAGTTGGGCCCGAATTTATTCCTGCAATTAGATACATATTCAAAAATCCCACAAACTCCAAGGTATCTTATCACTAGAAAAAGTTAAGGGCAAAGGCACAGCGTATCAATCTGGGGCGGGGAGGCAGATTATCACATTGATGAAAAGTCACAGAGGTCATCGTTTAACAGCATACATGCTTACTGCACTAATGTACAAGCAGACAGGTGGGATCACTTGATACAGAATCCGGGAGATGGGACTTATTAGTTTCCTATTTGACCAGAATCCCACGCAGCGTGTCGAGCGACTCCGTCAAGGCATCGGCGAAGGTTTGGGCCTTTTTCTGGGTCTAAACGAGGCTGAGGTTCAAAAGTTGGTTTGGCTTACCTTCACGCTGGAGATCACGGCTCCAAGTTTGCTTGGCACTACATTGTAGCCGACACCGAATCCGTCATTGACAACCTATCCAAAAAGTAGATCACTATCTGGGTTCGAATGACTCACAGGCCCGAAGCCGCCAAAAACAATCGTTTCCGTGGAGAGCGTTGAGGTCGACAAGACGAAATGGCCCATTCTACGACATAATTTAGGGTACTCTGGTAGACAAACCTGTTATAAGAAGCATCTTGGAAAACTACCGGAAGCGGCTTGCCCAACCGTTCCGCCGTAATCCGAAGGCCCAGTAGATGGCGGTCGAAGCCTTGGCCTAAAAAATAAAGCTTTATATATAAAAAAAATCCAAAAAACGTACCCATGCTAGCCTCCTTGACGAGTTGCGAATGCTGATCAGAGCACTTCTTCAGCAACTCTTGAATATTTTCCTGACGACCGGATGTTAGGGCCAGAACGGTTTCTTTGGTTGCCGCAGTGGCGGATCTATAAAAACAATAGGAATCGCCGTACCCTCAAAAACCTCATGCATTCTGTTCGCCCCTTCAAGAAGGCCGAAGTGCTGCAAGACTCGTAGGTGGGCACAAACTCTTTGTACGCATTGTAATACGCCAACTAAACAGGTCTCTCACAACTTATTTTTTCAGTTTACCTGAATCGCTAGCTGCATCACCGAGTCGGGACTTAACTTGGTCTTTTTTGATGTGGTCTCGGTTCATCTTCGTGTATTCAACGGTAGCAAAGTCAAGGTCCTATACCGGAATATGAAAATCCACGTCGAACGCATACCTTGCAACTTTCCACATGGGTCTTCTGGGCGTCGGAGATTTTGTGGCGGACCGAATCGTTGAGTTTAAACTCTAGACAAGACTTTTTCTATAAATTAAGTAGAGTTACTCAATTCCTGGAAGTCAGCAGTTGCGCTAGAAGCCGCGCCGGGAGCTACAAAATGATGAGCATTCGTATCCCTAGGAAACCATAAAAATAGATGGATTTGATTTATACTTGAAGCTCTCCTCCATCAGTCGCAACACGGCCACGCCGTCACCCCACGAGTGCTCGAAGTTGATCGTCGATTGGCCATTGCCTAAGGAAAGTCCATAAAAAAGCACGAATGCTATACCGTCAACGATCAGCTGGAAACACTTGTCGAACCAGCGATTTGAGCCATCATCACCGATCAGAAGCGATTGGACCAACCTAGAAAATGTATTTTAGATACGTAGGATAAATCTACGTACCTTTTTATGATCTGTAGTCTTCAAATCATCGAGACAAAGAGCAAACATGGCACCGTCGATTTGCCGCAGTTGTTCTCCATTCCCGAGATCTTCAAGCTCCCGTCGTGCATCAGCCCACTACACTTCATAATTCAAGAAAAAAAATAACATACCACATCCCGATTAGCAGCAGTCAACGATCCAAGGCGCTCGTTCTCGGCGGCCGGCTTTTCGCGTAAGATAGCTTGGATAGCGGCGTGGACTTCACTAGCTGGTAGAATGTTTCCTAAAGACGACGGTCGGACCTAATTTCAGCCACTAACCTTTATCATCGAAAATACGGACAGCAAAAATTCGGCCACCATGAAGGACGACAAAGTGCTTCTGTTCCCGGTCAAGATACAGCACATCCTAAGAAAGTTGATTTCATATTTATTTAATTACCTTTTCTTTCTTGGGGACACGAGATCCGTTGAAGAGCGATTTGTATTGACTCATGTCCAACGGGAAGGCCTTGAAAGCGACGGCGCCAAACCAGGAAAGTGAAGGGGGAAGCATCCTGAAAAGTTCCATTCAAGCTAGATGGTTTTGGCTTTCCAGACCAAGGAGTGTAAAAAAATTATATACCTGCAAACGCGCCGGAAAGTCTTCGTGTCGCTCTTTTTAGGGTTCATGTGGAAGACTTCTGGTGCGAGTACCTAAAAAAACAAGGGTTACTTAAAAATATTAAAGTATACCTCAGCATCCAATGATTTCTTAATGCGAGCGTAAGAAATGGCAAAGTTGGTCGCCCTCGTCGCCTGCTCCATGAATTTCTCGTTCGGGTCGGCCGCATACATCATGAACGGATTGTAGTTGACCGGGCAGGGAACACGTGCCCTAGAAAGATAAATGAAAACATGGTAAAACGAATAGATGATACCTGAGGTAGATATCGAACCACGGCTCGCTGATATAGCTCGTATCCTTGTGATTTTTGTCGTACTTCAACAATTCCGCTTGGAGCTCTAGCAATGGTTGTGAGGAAGCAATGATAAAAATACCTTTCCCTTCGCCATTCTCGAATTCGCGCATGAGCTTCTCCGTTCTTGCATAGTCAGCCTCGCCGAGAACAACCTAGAAAAAAAGCCTGTGAGAGACCGCTCTGAAAGCGCACCTTAGCCGACGCCAGATACCGATTAGAGGTATCAGAGAGCTTCGGGATCGGAAGTCGCCGCAATGACTTCTGGAAGTGGTACGACGGTAACTCCGATTTGTGCAGGAATTGATATTCAGCATCGGTGAGTTGGGATGCCCTGAAGTTTCAAGTCATGGTCTTCCAATACTGCTTTATGAATTACTTTAATTGAACTCACATCCTCAACGATCCATGAAGCCGGCCGGGGAGACCGTTTGTCCGTGCCAGCATTTCCTAGAAGACCGAATTTAGGCTAAACAACTTGTGAATATATCAGGTTGGAAAGACAGTAATGGCACAAAATCTTTAAATCGCTGTAAAAACCCGCAGAAACGTCCGATTTGAAAGTTTGATATATGGTTTGGTAGATCTTCGGATGTTCTATCACGAGACGACCCGCAAAACACCCAAAAACTAATGTACGCGAAAGTACAGGCCTCGGAAGTTTCACGGAAAATTAGGTGAAAGCTTCTAAGCGAGATATCTCAGCATACAGGCATTTGCATACAATACCTTTAACACCAATCGATAGCCCTTGAGGAGTAGATATCGATAGATGTTGAGATCATCAAAATCGGACACTGGATGACCAAGATATGGCCCCTAGAATTTTGGTCCACCTGTTAGAACTTTTCTCGAAATCCCATACATTTAGGCCTGCGCGAGCCAAAAACTGCTGCGGTTGCTTGGGAGGATGACAAAAAGCGCCAAAGCAAAAGCGCCAACGACAAAAGCGCCCATGCAGAAGCGCCAAACGAAAAGCGCCCAATGCCAGAAAGCGCCCAATGCCAAAAAGCGCCCAATGCCAGAAAGCGCCCAATGCCAGAAAGCGCTCTATGGGGAAAGCCAACGTATGGAGAGAGGAAACAATTACATAAAATGGCTTTTTTCAAGCTTTGTATGCCTTTTAAACGTTGTTTAGCGATAGGTAGGCTTTGTAGACGGCAAATTATCACCCCGAGCGGGTTGTTTTGGCCTTATTGGGTCTTTTTGGCTTGAATTGCCGTGTTTCAGTCTCTAGTTTTACCGGGTTTGCCTCATGTTCTCACGATTTCTGATGTTTTCAGTCACAATACTGTTGCAAGCACGAAATACTTGTTATAAAACAGTGTTTGGAGGCCAGAACGACGAGAAAAACGCCGTATTTCCGGGTAATGGATCCGAAAATGGCACTAAACAAGCTTTCCACGGCGACTTTATACCTTTCTCACATTAGAAATGTATATTCGGACCGGTTCGAGCATGTAGAGATCAAGAAACTACGTCAAAATAGTGGAAAAGCTGCTTTAGAAGAGAACTAGCTATTCGAGTGAAAGAATGCCCTAGGAGGCCAAAATAACTTCACCCAGTCGGTAATTTATGGCCTAGTAGGTCGAACTGCCGCTAAACTACCATAATAACACCAGAAAACCGATTAAAACAACTATTTTATCTCTACCTTATGTAATTGTTTCCTCTCTCCATACGTTGGCTTTCCCCATAGAGCGCTTTCTGGCATTGGGCGCTTTCTGGCATTGGGCGCTTTTTGGCATTGGGCGCTTTCTGGCATTGGGCGCTTTTCGTTTGGCGCTTCTGCATGGGCGCTTTTGTCGTTGGCGCTTTTGCTTTGGCGCTTTTGTCATCCTCCCGGTTGCTTCAGCTCCCAAACCAAAATCCAGAAAATGCATTGATTCTGGAAGGCCCATATCTCGGCCATCCAGTCTCCGATTTTGATGATCTCAACATCTATCGATATCTACTCCTCGAGGGCTATCGATTGGTGTTAAAGGTATTGTATGCAAATGCCTGTATGCTGAGATATCTCGCTTAGAAGCTTTCACCTAATTTTCCGTGAAACTTCTGAGGCCTGTACTTTCGCGTACATTAGTTTTTGGGTGTTTTGCGGGTCGTCTCGTGATAGAACATCCGAAGATCTACCAAACCATATATCAAACCTTCAAATCGGACGTTTCTGCGGGTTTTTACAGCGATTTAAAGATTTTGTGCCATTACTTTCTTTCCAACCTGATACTAACTCTAACAAGAGCTAAAATTTCTAGCGATGCGCCCTCTTTTGCCGTTCCCCTATCCGTATCATCGGTCAAATCGCCGGGGGCACGTAGCTTGTAGTCATGGACTTTGCCCCTTCCCTTTCCAGAACTGTACCCCGAAACAATCTGTGGAGGAAAGCCTGAAAATGACATGTGCACCAATAAAAAGCAATACTTTATCCCAATCCATAAAATGACATTTTAAACACACAATCAGCCGGTACGCGAAAAAGTTTCCATCGACGCATAAATGAGCAAACAAATAGTAAATATGCACTAGATAGGCTTTTTTTTTTAAACACCGTAGAAATGACAACGTGACAATTTTCGCAATTTTTAGAAGATCAACGAATCAATAGCATCGTTCGTGGCTTCATCGAGCAGTTTTTTGCTGACGACGTCGGCCCGGTCCTAAAGCTGTATATTAAGGACTCGGCTAAAAAGTCACCTTCTTGAAACTCGCACAGAACGATTCCAACCGCTGCTCATCTTCAACGAGCACTTGCCGTAAAATGATGTGCGCTTTCTTCTCCTAAAAAAGCTGTGTCTAAGCAGACAAAAATGCCTACCTCCTCTTTCATGTCCGGAGCGCAAGCCATTTTGCTAGCCACCGATCCGTTGTCAAAGCGACGTGTCACGAATTCAACACCTGAAGCTGCGATAAAAATAACAGAAGCTTTGCAACCTGGGTCCAAAGGTGCAAAAGCGATGAGTGTATTCCGAATCCGCTGAGCCAGGGAATCGCTTGACCAGTCTTGACTCAGTTGACGCAATCTTTCCGCTTCTGCAGAAGCAGCCTCCATGAATAGTTGACTGAAACAATGGGGGTAGAACATCCAAAAAAAAGTTAGACAGTACCTCATTTGTAGCGTCTGCTCCAAAATATCCGCGTCAACGTTTGAGCGTACCCAGTCAGTTTCGTTTGTCCGCTTCAAGTCATCAAGGCGGATGCGCTTGAGCACCACCTCGCGTACAGCAGATAAAGGCACGTTTTTAGCGATTTGCTGAAGCAGCCTATTAGCGTCACTCTCAACACCAAACCTGTGAAATGTACTCGATGAGCTCGATCGCCCCCTCGGCTGTCCGAATTGGGGGAATTGGAGCAAATTTCGGTTCACGGGAAGACGCTGTCGATGGAGGGGAAGGAAATGCTGGAAAATCGTTTTTCCAAAAGTGATACTTTTAGAAACCCGATTTTCTAGGCGTATCAAAAAGCGATCCGTGGGCCAGTCGCAGATCTGTCAAGGGTGATTCTTCGTCACCATCTTGTACCGTTTCCATAGGTACATGGCGGAGCTGGTCCCGAGACCTATAAATGGTAGATGATCGTTAATAAAATTGGGTATTGGCGAGATCAAGATCCCTCCTGTCTCCAAACCTACTTCATAAAGGATTTGATGCCGAGCAAATCATCAAGACTCTCCTCCAATATGGATTTATTGCCGCTCTCCGATAGCGCTGCTTTCAGCTCTCCCTCGATCAAAGACGTCGAGATCTGATCCGCAAAACGCGAGCGCTAAAGGTATCAAAGTTTCGATGTTTGATTGTTTTCGACTTACCGGACTCATCGATGGTGGTGTGTAGGTGGCAAGACGCATCCGTGGTGAAATGAGACTAGCATCGTAGGAACTGAAAATCGAAGTCAAAAGTAAGTCTTTTATCTACCGAGGAGAATGCTCGCGGCGCGGTGACTGCTTTTCGCTGAAGGAGCTGATGAAGTCCTCGATCATATCGCGCCGAGAGACATTGAAGCGGCGCTCCTCAGCGGCCTCCTAAACAAGGTTTTCACAACCGTTCGAATGCTAACCTTTTGTTTCTGGAGATCCCCTGGAACAGGGCGTGGTGCCGGAGGGAAGATCAAGAAAGAATCTTCGGGTTCATTTTCTTTCTCAGCCGATTGTCGGTCTTCAGGCAGCTCATGCAGGTCGATTTTGTTGATCACCGCCGTCTGCTTCGGGGTGGGTGGGCCGGACGTCTAAATCAAGATTCTTAATAATTTTTGCAAATGGACCTGGATCGATGCTTCCTCCAATCCGTCCTCAGGTTTTTCAGTGGAAGCTGACGGCTCAAGAGCGGCATTGAAGGATGGCTCTTCGACCTAAGCGAACTTTAGGAGTAGAGGCAAATGCTTACCAGGATATGCTTAACCGAGCTTTCCGTTTCAATTTCCTCAACGATCTCCACCTCAATCGCCGCGCTTTCGAAAGGCTCGGCTTCTAATTCTGCAGACGCATCCGAGCTTTGAAATGTAACCTTCGGCGTTAGGGCTTCGGATCGGGCAGAAGCAACCCCCTCCTCTTCCGTGTGACCTTCCAAGTTTCCACTGTGAACAGACGACAACGACTAAAGCGGAATCCTACTATATATAAAAAATAGTGTCTGTGTGTGTGTGTGCCACTTTGCATGCAACTTCCGTCAGGCTGTCCGGAGGATATCTCAAGGAGGAAAGGGTATTAGGCTACGTAGACCTCCCGAACCCCCCTTTCCCCCCTTTACCCCCATTTACCCCCCTCCCCAACCCCCCGAAACCCCCCCCCAACCCCCCAAAACCCCCTACCCCGACCCCCTCCCAACCCCCAACACCCCCTCCCAACCCCCCAAAACCCCCCTCCCAACCCCCCTATAGTGTATTAAGCAGAGGGTCGGGGGTTCGCTTCCCGGCCGCGGGGAAACTTTTTGCTTTTTGGGTATTCGGTTCTGGGGGATGTGACAAGCCTAGAGGACAGTCAATTTTTTGTCGAACTCTTTTTTAAAACAATACGACCCGGATGTTTACCCGGTGAATTGCTTTATTTGCTTTATTTGAGATTGTGGCTTGTTTTTATTATCGGAATGACACCATTAATTGATTGTAATGCTATGTCCTACACAAATAACTCATTGGGAAACCGTTTTGCCCAAAATTGCAGCGTTTTGCCAGCCTTGAGCGTGGAAATGAAAATTCTATCAAAAATTTTGCTTTCAGGAAGATTTGGTGTCTAAAAAGTTGTCAAATCGCAGGTATTTTATATGGGAAAGCTAGTTTACACTTTTTAAATAGATTTCGTGGTAGAAACCAACAAAAAAATTAGTTTAATCAATTGTTATCCATTGGCAGCAAGCAAAACCGACAAAACTAACCAGTTTCCCACTTTTTTCGTGCCGTAATGGTTGTTCAATACTTGCTGCAGCTAATAGTAAGCAAAAACATAAGTATAATAAGTGTAGTTAACTTATAGTTTATGTATCGAACCCCCCAAAAAACCCCCCAAAACCCCCCAAAAAACCCCCCTCCCAACCCCCCTCCAACCCCCCAATACCCCCCTGCCCAACCCCCGAAACCCCCTCCCCAACCCCCAAACCCCCACCCAACCCCCTCCAACCCCCCTAAGTAGGGGGGTAAAGGGGGGGGGGGTTCGGGAGGTCTAAGGCTACGTATGATACGTCATTAGGTGCGTAATGGCCACGAGATGACTGCACGTATATCAGATTTTACAAAATTCGTAGTTTTCGACATTAAAATTATGTTTTTTTGTTGTAAAATCGGGAACCCTCTTTGGTAGGAACTAATTTGCATAGGCCGGAAGTCGCGGGACCTATATAATAAGCGAGAGAGTGACATTTTTCATTATTCGCATCAAAATGGAGAATCGTAGACAAGTATGCAAAGTGAAGGATATTATGGGGGCTTGACGGGGCCAGGGTTGAAAAGTCGCGAAGCGGCTTTTCAACCCTGGTTCTTTTTTAAAAACGACAAAATTAAACTACCGGAACAACTTCTGCGAAAGATCGATCGCTAAGACTAAACTTCTGCATATTTTCGGTCAGATCATCGATCCCATCCGTATGTGCTTCCGAATTGCTTTGTGAAGCCGCGCCCGAATCGCCTAAAAAAGGACAATAGATGATTTGTAAAGGCTTACCAAAAGTCGCTGGTAAACCTTGCACGTCTTCAGCAGGCTTCAATTCTACCGGCTCGTGAAAATCTAGTGAGCATTGGTGACCGGAATCTTAAGTCTACCTTTAGCAGTGGCCAACTCTGTTGTCGATACGCTATGAAGCTCCGATGAAGGCGGCTGGGAGTCTGGGTCGCTATACCGTTCAGAAACTTGTTGAGCCTAGTTATTGAAGGTTAGAAGGAGTAACAACAACATGTACCTCTTCATCCGTACTGGCCGTTTCCCAAGGTACCGTAATGTTCTTGAAAATTTGATGCTGACTCATGCTCGATTTCGCCGACTCTTCGTTCAAAAAACTGAAATCCAGCTTAGGCACTGGATCTGGACGGAAACCTAAAAACAAAGATGAAAACAGAAGATCGTCATACTGCTGTGATGCCTGCTGCTAGTTGGTGTAGAACTGAGCTGTGCATTAGAGACCGCCACCGGAGTGGAGCGTTTAGGGGAAAATGGAGAAAAACCGTCATTTTCATCGTGGGTCGATCGCTAAAAGTCCGGATTCAATGAAAGATCAACTCTGAATACCTTCGTAGAAATGGTAGGTGTTTGCGCCTGAATTGATTTCTCTGCCAACACGATTGGCTTCAACGGAGTGCTATCTAAGTAATCGAGGATAGCTCAAAGTTCAAAAACTCCTACTCTTGGCCAGCATTTCTAGTAGAGGCTTTGACCCGCTGATATAGGCCTCGTGGGCGTCGATCTGTTTTTGCAGCGAAACAAGGGTCCTGAAAGAAACGTATTTTGGGGGAAAGAGAGCAGACTTTTGTGAGATATCGTCATTGATAGTAGCCGCTATTTTGCGCTTTTCATCGAGTTCTTGCCGAAGTGAGTCTAAAGTCTCAGTAATTTTTTTATTTTGTAAAAATAATCACCTTGTAGCGAATTGGGGCGGCCCTTGACTGGGCCACGATGCGGGCTCACAAAAGACTGATTTCCGACCCGTTCGATAAAAGACCGGGCATCGTCCTTGATGTCTTCTAAACACCCAAACATAAACCTTCGAATAAGCCACAAACCATAGAAGGATCTGTTGCTCATCTCATCCCACTGATAGGACCGGTCAGGTATTCGGGGCTTCTTGATGACATCGCCAATGATGGCTTTCAGCATAGCAGCAGTAGGTGAAATGTCTTCATGTGTTTTGTTGAAGCTTGTGTTCTTCCAAGGCAAATGTCTGGAAAAAATTTGCTTCGAAAAGCAACTTCTTACTTTGACAGCTCCTCAGGCAGTTGAAAGGCCTCCATGCGTATCACGGCTAAATCTCGGCGAATATTGGCCAATCCAGCTTCATATTCACTCTAAAGTCGAGAATTTACACTAACGAAACCCATTTACCGGGGAAATTTTTCTCAGCTTCTCTCGTTGGACGAGCTTCAAGCAGTCCTCGGCCAGCACCTCGACCCTCTTGCGTAAATTTACTACGTTCTTCATCACCATTTTCCACACGGCATCGGAACGCCCCTTCTTTTTGCTAAAATTTGCGATAAAGCGAGCGGGAAGACGTACAGCTTTGATTCCTGGACAGCCTGTGCAATAATTTCGCGATTGAGGAGTCGAATAAACGCGTCATTCGTCTTCTTCAATTCTTCCTCAAGGATTTTGGTCATACGTCGCCGGAATTCACGATCATCGCTTTGTTTTTGGAGACGCTCTAAACCCAAAATAATGTAGCCAAATTAGCGATACTTTTTCGTTCTTTCTCTATTCTCGACAAGCCACCAGCTAAGCTCTCTAAGTTCTTCTCCATAGCGCCAAGCGAAGCCGAAGCATCGAGTTGCTTGTTGACGCCCAGTAGCATATCAGACTAAAGCGGAAATTTGTAGAAAATCAAGGAGTCTACCGTGGAAGTTTGTTGTTCAGTCTTTTCCACGATGCTGCGATCCATTTCCGAATGGAAACTCGTCGAGTAGACCGTCTGCAAAAATATAATAATTGACTAGTGGTCAAAAATACCTTGTCGAATTTGCTGCGAAAGCTGGACTCCAATTCGAATTTGATGGAAGCAGGTAATGATTGCCTGAAAGAAGAGAATAATTCAGGGATTCTTCCTTGTACCTGTTTTCAGAATCAAAGGGAATCGTGGAAAAGGCTTTTTTCGGCGACTTCCACATGGCCTCCGCAGGGCTCCTAAAGTTTTTAGTTGTACATAGTATTGTAACGCACCATTGGGAAGGTTGCAGATTTTTGACTTCTCCCGTGCTTTGATTGAAACGCTCCAAAAGTTTTTCGGTACTTTTGTTTAGGCTGAAATCGAGTAGTTGCAATTTCGAGCTGGAGAACGCCTACCGATCGAAGATGGATGTCAGGTCGCCTTCTTTCTCTTCAAGCGACATATTTAGCGTTGCGTCGGCCGTTCGATTGAAGCATGACGGAGTGGCGACGGTTGTTTTGAAGGAATCGTCTCTAGAAAGTGGGTTTCTCGCTTTCCAAGTAGGTCACAACAACTTTACAACTTTTCAAAACTTACAATGGAATGCGTGCCATTGGCGTGTAGAAATTGCTGTAATCGAAAGGTTCCGATTCGGGCGTCTTATTGAGATCGGGCTTTTCAGGCTGAAGCATTATGCACTCGTTGAACACGAAAATTACCGAATGAGACGCCATGGAGGAGGCCGATTGGTGCTCAGTTGGCTGGTCCCTTTCAAAGGCCAAATCAGCTCCGTTCAAGAAGTCAATCGACCAATCGTCTTTCCGCTGTTTCTTCAGCTGCGACTTTGGCTAAAGCTCCGTAAGTTTTCTTGGCTATTAGGCTCACCGTCAATACTCCTGTAGGGCGGCTGGGCGAAGCCTCATATTTTAGTTCAAAAAAATCGACTGGCTGTCACCGATTTTTGCGGTGATGGTTTGGGCAGTTTGCAGGTGGTTTTGCTATTTGGCGAACGTTTTTAGTTACGGATCCTCGATGCTTCACGGGAGATTCGCTGAGTGAGCGAGGCCGAACTGAAATCGGGTAATGTTTTCAACGATATTTTTTACCTTCGCCTAGAGTTCTGCGAGTCCTCAAGTGCTGTGGAAGCAAATAGCTGCTGTTTAAAGCGGTGTTGTCACCATTTTTCCAGGGTCGCCTCTCGTTCGAGCTGCTCGGTCGCTGAAAGCATCATGATTGTTGGGTGCTATCGATATTGGCCCACCATGTTCTCATCGCTCTTCCAACGATTTCTCAAATCGTGAGAAACCTCTCGTGATATTTCGCGGCAAACTTGCTGTGCCATATGGCCAATATCCATATTTGCACTGAAATGGTGGTCTGTTACACGTGAAATATCTGAGATTCAAGCTAAGATTAGGGGCAAACCACTAAGCGAATGCGAGAAAAAATTGTATCTTGGAACGGAATTGGAATTTTTGGCTTCTTAAAGACATTAAACCCTCTAAAGCATTGCCATAGTTACCGAGAGCTTAAAGTAAGATTCAAATGACCCGCACTTCACAGGCCGGCGCGATGGTAGTGGGGTCGCCCCATAGCCCCCGCTAACCGATTAGGCCATGTTTCGAAACATATGCACTTTTGTTCTCCTTTTACGAATGGCTGGATAGAGCTGTCTTTTATTCTCCATTCCCTAGCAGAATGGATGAAGACAAGCACGAAAATGGTGGCGAGCTAGACGGGGACGACGCCACGGAGGACGAGCTGGAAGATGGGGAGCTCGATGAGGAGGAAGAGGAAGGAGAGGACGTGCTTGAAGAAGCAGACGCTAGCCAGGAAGAGATTGAGGAGGTCAGAGGATGATAAATTTTACTAAATAAAAATTAGATGGAAAAGGAGCTGGATGAGGCTGGAAAGAAGGAGCTCGACGTGAAAGGCATCAAGCAGAAAAGAAAGATCAAGGAGAAGTACTTCGATGATGGCGATGATAAGGCTTTTGCGAGACGGCTTAAGTTTGTTCAAAGTTTGTACGTATAAGTGGAATTCAGGCGTCATCAAGCCGAGCTGGAGTTGGCGCGGATTGAGGGGGACGGTGAAGAAGAAGTCTTCAAGGACCTTGGGCATGATTTTCGGCTAAGCCGGACCGTTTGGGATACACTTTATCCGTAGGCTCTTTCTATAAGCAATAGTTTTCCGATTAGATTTCAAAAGATCGGCGTCCAGTGGCTGCTAAAATTGTACCGGGAGCGGGTGGGTGGAATTTTGGCCGATGAGATGGGCTTAGGGAAAACAATTCAGGTTTGGGTAATAGAATTTCGCAATGATGTTTTTAGACGTTGGCTTTTCTGAAAGCTCTTTACGACTCGAACAGAAATCGAATGGGGTATGTGTTGAAATTACATGAAAATAACTCGCAGTTCGCACGGGTTCGGCTCGACGTTGATCCTCTGCCCGGCATCGATCATCGTTCAATGGACCAAATATTGTCACAAATATCTCCCACTGGCGCGTACGATCGTGGGTCGAAAAGAATCTTATTTACCATTTTACACAGATCTTCCACAGCAGCGGTTCTTTCAAGGGAAAGCTGGCTTCGTTGGCGAAGCGTTTCGAGCCAAGAAGGTGTATAGACGCTTTTCACTAATGATTTTTTTTCATTTAGGGACGGCCTGTTTGTCATCGTGCCCTACACGACCTTCATGGCTTACAGTCCAATTTTGTCGAAAAAGGAGTGGCGATCATTGGTTTTGGACGAGGCTCACATCATCAAAAATCCCGAATTGAGGGTTTACACTTTTAAAAGACTTCAATAAATAATAATTTAGCTAACTAAAGCCCTGAAAGTTCTGGCTACGCCTCATCGCCTCTTGCTGACCGGCACGCCACTACAGAACAACTTGAAGGAACTATGGAGTCTCGTCGATTGCGCATATCCGGGTCGGCTCGGCTCAATGGATCCGTTTATGAAGGACATTGCTATTCCGATTACGCGTGGTGGTTTCGGTAAAAATTCTACGTTTTCGGAACGTAAATTTCAGCCAACGCTTCGCCTATGATGAAGGAGACCGCAGTGAGGTGTGCCCATATTTTGAGGTAGACTGGGATGATTTCTAAAAATTATTCTGTTTCAGAAATGCTATCGGTCCGTATTTACTACGCCGTACAAAGGCCGGCGTCGAACGCGAGCTGAACCTGCCGAACAAACAGGAACAGGTGTGCGATGTTTCAACACCTATTTAGTTTTCTGCGATTTAGGTCCTGTTTTGTGAACTGACGACAGAGCAGCGGGTCCTATATGTGGAATTTTTGCACAGCCGCGCCTGCCAAAGGTATTGTAATTTGATGGGAAAATTGTCGCGCTTTGCAGGATGATTGAAGCCAAGAACACCTTTCTACCCTTTGCCGGGATTACGATTCTTCGAAAGTTGTGCAACCATCCGCATCTTATTGGGAATGCGTTTGCCGGTGCGTTACAGTTTGAATTCGTTAAAATTTCGTTCATAGGCGCCAGAACCTTTGCGGGAATCCACAGCCTCCAAGGCGTTTGGTCATCCCTCGTTGAGCGGAAAGTTGGAAGTGACGAGGCGACTGTTGGCACTGTGGAAAAAGCAGGGCAGCAATAAGGTACGCAGGATACGGTTGGAGAAGTTTACTTTATTTGTCAGGTTCTCCTCTTCTCGCAAAGCAGGGTGATGCTCGACGTCATCGAGGCGATGCTCTTGCGTGATGGGTATTTTGCGTTTGTCACGTATATTACCGCTTTTCTCTTTCAGGCACACCTACTTGAGAATGGATGGAAGTACGCCAATCTCGGCTCGCGATGGTATCGTATCAAAATATTCGCAGGTAAATTTTGGTTTTATTCTATTGGATGAAACCTTCAGGACGAATCGATTTTCGTCTTCGTCCTGACAACACGCGTCGGAGGTCTCGGCCTAAATCTCACATCGGCCAACAAGGCACGGCGAATTTTTAAACGCTAAAATTAATTAGGTGCTAATTTTCGACCCCTGCTGGAACCCTTCGACCGATTCCCAGGCCCGCGAAAGGGCCTGGAGAATTGGACAGCGCCGAGACGTTACGATTTATCGGCTCATTACGTATGGAACGATTGAGGAAAAGATTTATCACAGGTGCAGCGTTCCAAATGTCTTATTAGTTTTTTCAGGCAATTGTTCAAGGAATACTTAGCCCAACGGGTGCTCACAAAGAAAGCACAGCAAAGATTGTGAGTTTTTGAATTTTAAGCGGATATGCCCTTTTACAGGGAATTGAGCACCACTGATATTCGCGATCTGTTCACGCTATGTGACGACAAGGAAGAACGAACGGGCAGGGCTGAAAAGAAGAAGGCGAAGAGGGAAGAGAAGCTGGCTTTCAACCAACGTTCCGACCGCTTCGACCAGTATATCCGAAAAGATACCCTACCCTTTATTTAGACTCGTTTCGGCCGAAAGCGGCGCACGGAAGAAGGAACCGGCTGATGCAGATGTGCCCGAGGATGAGGAGGTTGTTTCAGGCTTTTTTGAAGATTATTTGCAATTTAGAGCCTCCCGACACTGACGGACGATCAACGAGCCGCCCTGGTTCATGAAGCGGCAACGAGGTATTTAACGAATTCGGACGAAGCGTTTTTGTGTGTCCTAGCTACTTTTTTGAATTCCACTTTTAGTGATCCTACTATCGTGCCGGAAAAATGCGAACGATCGGCACGCCCTGCGGACTCAGCCGAGCTTTTTGATGGGAAATATCAGATTCCTTATTTGGTCAAGCATACGAAGGCCCGGCGCGATCGAAAGAGGGAGGAAGAAGAAAAGGCTGCGAAGGTGCGCCCTGAAAAATAGGGAAAAAGTGTGCTTTCAGACCGAAGACGGCGTGATGGCTTTCCTCTTGAAGCGAGGTGTACGAGAAGCGCTAAATCATGACGCTGTCCTCGGGTAGCATGGCTTTCTGAAAAACATATTTCGTATTAACAGATACACGGAGCGAAAAAAGGTGGAAGAACACGAGAGGCGCGCACGCGGATTGATTGGCGAAAAGAGTTTGTGTTATCTGGCTTTTAGGGTTATATAGCATTAGGAAAAAGGAAAAGGCAGCGGAAGAAGCGGCCGCAAAATTGAAAAAGAGGGAAGTGGACAAGCCACCTACCGCCGGGCAAAGCTTTCTGGCTGCCGCTGGTTCTCGTTTCTTGGCTCGACCGGGTGGATCACAGGTATTTGATGATGAAGGTATGATGAGAACTACGTATTTTAGAATGATCTCCTCTCCGCTGTGCGGAAGCGGAAGTCACAGGAGCAACGCGAGGTCGAGAAATGTCTACCGCCACGTTAATCTCATTGTACCGTACTACTACGGAACTTGTTCTTTAACTTTTAGGCTTTATCCATTAATAACTCCTACATTCCCATTAATAATTGAAATACCATTGGCATGATTGTTTCCATTTTTGCACTGCCGATTATTGTCGGGTTCTTTGAGCTTCACTTATTCGCACGGGTAATAAACTTCATATCAGCTCCCGAAACGGGGAAGTACGTTTTTCTTGGGGGTTGACAGTGCGCATGTTTACCCCCGTTCTCACCTCAAGCTGGCGAGTGATAGCGGCCATTTGGGGGTCTTTATCATAACCCCGAAAGGGTCAATTGCTTCTGCCCGATGCATTACTATCGAATTGGTTTGTTTTTAGAAGAGTGAAAACGGTTTTTTTTTCGGATTTTAGCAACGCGTCTCTTCTCAAGTCAACGGGCCCTGGGTTCGTTTAGAAATAAAGGCACTATTTTTGGTGTTTACTAGATGCTGGCCGCGTCGAATTCGTACAGGCCACCCCTGCAGACCTTCCCCAAATTGTGGATATGTGTTTGGAGGGGTTCTCGGCCATCGAGCCGCATCTCAAGGTCTGTATGGGAAATATTTCTGGGATTTCTGACCCTTTCTTTGAAAGTGAGCTCTCTGGGAGAGGATTGTTTTCATTTAGGCCGTCTTGGAAAATTTTTATTGTCTGTTTAGGCTATGGAATTTGGAAAAATGGCTAAATGAAACGAAATCAAAAAAGGTTATGTCCATGGGGACATTTCTAGGCATGGAAAATCGGAAAAGAGGCTCGGCCCCTTTTTGAACTGATTGGAGCGAATGCCTTGAAGCATCGCTTCTCGTACAAATTGATCGAGCAGGATAGCCAAGAAGTTGAGAGTTTAAAGTGCCTGAGAAAAAAAATGGTTTTAGCTAGTTGGATTTCGACTGTTCTCCCTTGGCCGGCGTGATGATCCGGAGCTGCAGCTCGACGGGATGAAACTGCACCCAGGAGTCCTGGGCCTCGGTAAGTAAATTACAGCTATACTCCCAATTAACCTCGTCATTTATTAGCCGGAATGCTCGACTATTTAAAGAAAGAATCCTTTGCACAGCTGCCGCACATCAACAAATTGATACGGTAATTTTTTTCATAACACAAAGTTCAGGCGGTTTTTAGGCGTGAAATTACATTCGTCGTGCCGGAACTCCAGCGAAAGGGAATAGCCAATCGGCTGGCGCACCATGGGCTCGATTTTCCAAGTTTGAAGGTGATTTTGGTGGCTTCGCAGGATTTGATAAAATACAGATATGCAAAAGTAGCTAAAAAGCTACGGCTTTAGGCGGACGGAGTTCAAGGACTCATTTCCGAGGCCTCATCGCTGGCGAACCAAGAATTATTGAGAAAGAAGGGGTATCGTTTGATTGCGCAAGTGCCCCAAAGGTATTTTTTTACATTAATTTTAGCTGGATGTAAGACTGGGGGGTACATTTTTTCGAAGCTCATTCTAATGGCGTTGCAAAAATCCCGAAAAAATAGCGAGATTTCGAAAAATTTTGGCAGTTTCACTCAACTTCCTTGGAGTTCCGGACCTTTCTTACATTTATTCCTTTCCAGCTACTACGACCGGCACGGTATCAAACTGCACGATGGTACCACGACAATCAAGGCTTATTTTAAGGATATTGAAGACGTAATTGCAGATCTGGCGAAGAGTCAATAAAGCGTAGGAATTTTTTTAAGTCTATCGACCGATTTTACGCCGCTATTTCCATATTTCGTATTTTGCGGATATTTCACCTAACAGCTCCATTCTGGGGTTAGGTTCTCGAATAAATCTGTCACTAACGATCGCATTTATTACCAGCCATAGATTCAGCAAAAAAGGACCAAACAGTTCAAAAGTTAACAACCACAATGAAAATCCTGGACCGCGAAAACTAAAACCCCTTTTGGGCTCATTCTGGGACTTAATGTTGGTAAACTTCACTTGCGAAGTGGAAACCGTGCTAGCTGTTTTTTATTGCCGACAAGGGTGCCAGCTGCAAAATTGTTTTATTTCTAGGCCTGAACATTTAAAATTTTGTAAGTTGCTCGGCCAAAAGCCCTTCCTCGAATGTCCCGTATGGCATCGGAGCAATCTGAAAAGACTCGTAAATCTCTAATACCGGTCTTGGCCTTGAATTTGTAGGAAAAAGTGAGAGGTGCAAATGTTCATAGGTGTACTCGGACCAAAAAAGGTTAAGGCGCTTGAATATCAAAAACCTAAGCCAATTTTCGAGTTCAAGATTCGATGCGTTTTTGTGTTTTTCATTCATAGACTGGGACTTACTTCACAAAAAGAAGCATTTTCCGTGGGTCTCTGCGCATACTGCTGCCGAGTTTCCGGTAGAAATCGCCATAGTATTACGAGGAAGATGGCGCTAAAAGGTTTTAGGTTCATTGCCCCATATTACCGATAAAGTACCTCGGTATAATGAAGAGAATATAGCTCCAGCCACCGATGGATTGATTTAGGGGGTAGAATAGAAAAGTTGTCAATGAAGAACTGGCCCAATTCACGGCTACAGCGACGCCAAGTGAAGCTGTCGCCGCCTCGGGGGGAACCTGGAAATTTTTGAAGTGAAACTTAGGGTTAAGCTTAGCAGAGGCTTAAGCTTCTGGTTGGTTTCGAACGATTTTGCTCAGAACCCACCAATTCGGCCGCCAGAAAATAGGCGACTGGGCCGGTGCCCAAGTTATACCCAACACCATATAGCAGAAAAGTAAGCCCGAAAAGCCATGACGCCCACCAGTCTTCTAAAATAAAGATATAAGAATCAACCGTAGAATATCTTAAAAAATAATCTATAAAAGAGGTTACTATATTTTGGAATATCGGTAAATGGAAAGAAACCCATTTTTCTGAATAATTTACCTGGATTTACAGCAAGCAACGAGAAGATGAGAAATAGCACGTCTGAGATCAAGCAAAGCGCCAGCGTTTTTAGAAGAAGCGGTCGACGTCCATAGGACTCGACCTGAAAGGAAAGACGCGATTAGTGATCTATTTAATACCTACCAATTGCAATGAGGGTAGCGTTAATATGATGGAAATAATGCTGCCGAGGGCGGGTAGGAACGGGATCAGCCCCTCGAAGAAGGAGACCGATGTAAACATTCTGAATCGATGTTTATAGCCCTTTCGTTCTACGTCTTGACTTACGTTGTCGAATACGAGACGGTCGCCATACTCCCCGAAAAGATCTGAGTCGCACTCACGATGCCGCCGAGGAGAATACCGCGTGCGATTGCTGGGTTCCCAAGCGCGGTGCTGACCGGGATCTGAAACGTGCGCTTTTGGGATAGAAGACGTGCAATAAAAAGGCAGAAAACACAAAATAACCTGTTGCGGTGTTTCGGGGACCAATTTCCAATATTCTTTGATGGCATCTTCCACATCGTCCACGTCAATATCGTAGTAGAACCTGGACTTTCTTGGTAATTTTTATTTTTCCGCTGATATATAAAATGTTTCTGACTATCAACAATTCATCAAAATTTTGATTTTCTGAAAATTTGTTAGTGTTTAAGTACTTTGGCCATTCTTCATGAATTTTCTATATATTTTTCTATATGAGAAAACGATGTTATAAAAATAGTTTAGATTTCGTTATAGGATGACGTTTAATTAATTTTTAAGACAGCAGGGATTTTCTGAATTACGATTTTCTTTATTTATTCCTCAAGTTCTTGCCGAACCTAATCGAATGCGCCGCCTGGGTGTAAGCCCCTTGCTGGAGTAGCCGATTAGGAGTGTCAGGCACAAAGAACGACGAGGTTAGCGCGGCCACTCCTGAAAATAGAAATAGCCTTAAACATCTTCCAACGACCAACCAAAAACCGCCGGAAATAGCAGGAGAAGCCCCCAAGTGTTGGCGGAGCCGAGCATAAAAGGTAGGGAAAGCAGGGCAGCCAGTGCGGTACCCACGCAGACCCCGATGTGAATCGAACACGAAAGGGAGCCCTAGCAACAAAAATTCTTCAAAAATGAAAATGTTTGAACTGACCTTGATTTTCTTTGGGACGACCTCTTGGATGAACAGCGGGACGAAGGCGCAGACGAGACCTGTGTGGATTCCGCTCAAAATTCTCCCTGAAAATTTATATTTAATTTAATTTATTTACGCAACAAGGGTCTAGCATGGAGAAGAATAGATTGTAATTCATAAACAACAAAGATAAAAAACTAACCAAACAGCAGGGCTATGGGAAAGGTAAGCCACTGCGCAACGGCCATCGACAGCGAGCCGATCATCAGGCAAATCGAAGCGGCGGCAAGCAGGCTTGACTTTGCACCTAAGTTATTGTTTCATAGCTGTAATATACACGTTGGAAGGTATCTAACGCATTAAACACATTTAGGTTTTCCACTTAAACCCTACCAAAGTGGCGGTCCAGCGGGATGACCAGCACGCAACCGATTAGCGCCCCAATACTCTGTGAAGCGACAAGGATCGACCTGGAAAGGAAAATTTAGAAGGTTTGATGATAATAAGAATGGGCTACCAGATGATGTTGAGCCCGCTAGGGCCTAGAACGATGCCATGTGTCGAGTGGAAGCTGTCATTGATTGCTGTTTGGATGATTTGCTCCGGGACGTTCAACACCACCTAGGAGATCGCATCATGCCTTCGTTCGGCGATATTTATATCCTACCATGTTGAAGCCGACCGGCAAGACTGTACATAATGAGATGAAGAGGGGCTAGGAGGGACGACTCTACCCTGAAAAAAACAGTGGTGCACTTAGCTTTTAGAGAGCAAACGACCGAAAAGATTATAACCTTCTTATAATCAACCTCTTGGCTATTTCTATCGATATACTTCGACATTTCACATATTGCTTTAGCATTATAAATTACAGTTATACTTGGTACCTCAGAGGTACCTGTACTTCTGCATATCACATCAGTTCGGAGATGTGGGAGCCGACAACGGTACCCTGCAGATCGATGGAGGGAAAGGCCGAACTCATCTTCCATCATCCGCTCAAAAAAAACTTCATAACAAATAAAGAATAACCCCCACATAACCGGGGACCCTTATCACCCGCCGGTGAATCCAAAAGTATTATCTGTACCCCGCACAACACCCTCAATTACAACGCTTCGGGCCTAAAAAGAGCGGAAAATCTACAAAGCTCGCGCTTGTCAGATGCTTCTGCGATGCATGACCTGGCATTTTAAACCAGCCATTTTCTCCTGTATTTCAGCAGCACAAATACAATGAAAATGTCACGAACTTGGGAGAGTAGGGGTGTATAACAAAAGGCGAGCCGACACTGCCGGAACTCTTCATGGGGGAAAAGAAAGGTTTAAAATTACCGCGTCAACGAACCGGAAAATGAGACCAATAGTTCAGGGGAGGGCATCATCGAGGTAAAAAAGTGGGGGAG